ATGTATTTAAATACATATATTTAATATATGTATATATATTTAAATACATATATTTAAATAGAATCTGCTGAATCCATTTTTATTGTGTGTCTATGGTTTCAGAGCTGACCACTTGGCAATCAACAACCAGTAAGAGGGCTCATCCCAGGGACAGGCTCATTCTCCATCTCCCAGCAGTCATGAGTGGCCTGAAGTTCTTTGCCTAGAGGTGGGACCCTATGAAATTGTCTCCCTTCCATGAAAACATAGCCATTGATATTGCCATTGCAGCCATTTCTAGGAGAGACTGTTCCGTCGCTGACTCTCTGGTCTTCTGGCTCTCACGGTCTTTCCACCCCTTTTGCCGTGATGTTCCCAGAGCGGTAGATGCAGGAGCTGCGATATAAACATCAGTTGGGGCTAGACTCTCCACAATCTCTGCATCCTGTCCTGCTGTGGTTTTCCGTGGTGATCTCCGTTCTCTGTAAAAAGAGGCTGCTGTGACTGCACCTACCCCATGGGGACGAGAGTAAGATTTTGACCGCAGTAAGGAACTATGTTGGCCTAGCAAAGTGGCAGGAGTGGATTATTTTCCAAGGTGATCTCAGTAGCACTGGGCTATATACCAGGCATTGTTTCCTCCTGCTGAATGGACCTTCAGCCCAATTAGTCAGCTGTTGATTGCCACCCAACTGTAAGGGACACTGACTGCACCTTTATGCAAATCTCACCGCTCTGATTATTGTGGTTCATAGGTAGGGTGGGACCGTTTAATTGCTTCCTGCCCTTGGGAGCTTAAATAGTATTTTCTGGGACCATAAAAGCTCTAGTGCTGGAAAGAGGCTTTGAAGCCAGAGCAAGCCTTGAATCATCCAGGTCCTGGGTCCTAAGTGTCGCCAGCACCTCTTGACCTTGGCTCTGACTTGTTTCAGACTTGGTTCTCACCTAGGTTCATACTCAGTTTCGTCCCCTCCATGAAGTGAGGAGATGCCTCTCACCAGGTGTGAACACCCAGCAGGCTGTGTTGCTGCCCTGAAAGAGGAACCTGGCGGTCATGTCAGTTTCTACTTATAGATTACAGGACAGTTGCGTTGGGAGTGGCTCTTACCTGCAGTAGACTTTCATCCCCAAAGCACTTGCCACCCACCTGGCTGCTCTTGACATCAGGAAAACAGGGGTCAGCAACTAAGCCCATTCGTTCTGCTTTGCCTGGCTGGAGTGTTTTCATGAATTCTAAAACCCGATCTGGTCCTAGCTCTCCCCTTGCATGCTGGAGCCGCTGGACTTGCAAACCGAGCCAGAGTGGCGGTGTTTCATTTCGTTGTCCTTACAAAGGCCGACAGCCTTAGAGGCAGCTTCGTTCTCAATGCCTGTTTGACCGCAGTGGTTTCCCTCCAGGGATGGCAAGTAGGCTGGATCGCTTTTCATTTTCAAGGAGGTGCTCAGCATTCACACTGTATTTTTGTATATAATTACTGCCGTAGCATCTAATTTGTGTTGACTTTATAAACTTGAAAAGAGAAGGAAGGAGAAGAAACTTGGAGAGCATCCAGGCCCCCTTGTTCTCTGAAGCTGAGCAGGTGCTGGAGGCACCTTGTGCTGAGTCACAGAGACAGTCTGGTCCCTATGAAGGGCAAGTGGGCGGGGCAGGGTAAAGACCACAAAGGGGAAAGCTGTTGAAAATTGCTGTGTGCTGTGATGGGGGAGGTGACCAATCTGGGGGTGCTTAGAACTCAAATGTTATCTTTTTAAGCTAGGAGAACCTTATTTTTCCATTTATTTTGATGTGCATGCGTGTTTTGCCTGCATGTATATCTAAGCCACATGAATGCAGTGCCCTTAGATGCTACAAAGAAGTGGCCATTGGATCCCCTGGGCCTGGAGTTATAGATGGTTGTGAGCTACCATGTAGGTGCTGGGAATCAAACCAGGAATAGCATCCAATGCTGTCAACTGCCGAGCCGTTGACTGAGAAACTTACTTTCTAAAGACCCAAACAACTTGCTCACCTCTAGATTTCATATTGAAAAAGACACTGTGACCCCACGGTTTGTTCAGCTCTCAGTCTGCAAGCAAGACTGAAAGAGGCCACTGGAGTCGTATGAATCTGGAGTGAATCCTACCCATAACACTTCCTGTTCTAGACTCTGGGTGCAGCACTCCAGCTCTGGGCGTTTCTCTCATGGTAGGGGGACTGGAATCCTGTCCTTTGTAAGAATGACTAGAAACATTCTGCAGCAGGACAACAGCCTGAACTGGCTGCTGGAGTAGAAGCTCACTGCTCGTCAGAGACAGACTTTTTCCATCTTGGTGAGTGTGCCGGTGTGTAGATGGGCGGGGTGGGTGTGTTTGCATACACATGCCTGCGGAAGCCGGAAGACAACTTGGGTGGTTATTGTTCTTCGGGAGGAAGACATCTTGTTTTTTGAGACAGAGTCTCTCCCTGACACCACAGGCCTCACCAATCAGGTTACATTGGCTGTCCAACAAGCTCCTGGAATTAGGATTACATGACTGTGCTATCTTTCCTGACTTTTTACATGGGTGCAAAGAACTGAACTCAGGTTCCCATGGTTGCTCAGTGATAAGTTGGGAGCATAGTCCCCAGCCCCTGGCATCCATCCCAGCCTCCCTGACCTGGGAGTTGCATTAGTCTGGACTCCAAATCCCAGCATGCCAAGTCCTGACCCCTGGGGGCAGGGAGGAGGGTCAGGACCACTCTCACAGGGTATTTAAGTGTACTCCCAGAGGAGAATCCCGTCGTTTTCAGGTCTGCATGGGCTCCCTGTTTTCCTGTCTCCCCATCATGGCTCGGCCACCCGAGAACATCATGCTTAATAAAACGATGGGCATTTTGATTTGGTTTGATTTGACCTAATTGGATTTCTTGCGCCAGCAGAGCTGTCCTTTTATTATTCTGTCTTAACACTCAGCACGCATCTTATCAGCTAAACCCCCTCCCCAGCCCTTCAAGGTGTAACAGATTGGCCTCAAACTTATGATCTTCCTGCCTCATCCATTTAAGCATTTGCCTGCTGTGTGCTTTCACAAACAGCAAGAAATGGGTGCTTTTTTTTTTTCTCTCAAGACAGGGTTTCTCTGTGGAAAAGCACTGGCTGTCTTAGAACTCGCTCTGTAGATCAGGCTAGCCTTGAACTCGCAGAGATCCACCTGCCTTTGCCTTCCGAATGCTAGTATTATAGGAAGAGCTACCACAACGCAGTGAGAAGGGCATTTTTAAACTGAAGAGATCACACAGGAGCTCCTGGCTCTGGCAGCCTTGCATGAGGTGGTGAGTCACCTTAGCACACTCTCACGTGTTGCAGCTGCCCTTTCTGTCTGCACGCATGCTCTGAACTCTTCCATCTAGTGTTCAAATTTCACAGAAGTTAGTGGGCAGCCCAGTGGGCTATGAGATGCTTAGGGCTTCTTCCACCTACTAAGTTTTGTTTTATTTGATGTCTTTCCTTTGAGACAAGAGTTTTAATGCTGAATATTGCAAGCTGAGCCAGGATCAGCTTTTCCTCAAAACTGTTGTTTATAACAACAGTTCCTTTGTGGTCAGAAAAATTCAGAGAATTGTATCTTTAAACCACATAGCCACCACCGCATCTGTAGTTAACACTTGTTTAGCTTTAGCTTGTATTGCCAACTTTTTATGGATTTCAAAATAAGTTTCCGACATGGGGACTCTTGTGGGGCTTGTTCTGAAGTGATGATTTGATAGGCAGCTTGGGTTCTCAAGAGTCTGCCAGGCTATGTGTCTTGTCCACACCATCGGCTGGGGAGCCACGTTTTGATATCAGAACAGGGTTTCACAATTTTGACTTCTAAAACCATGCCAGCGTGTGACCAGGATCAAGGTGGAAGGGCGGTCACAAGGTTCTGACCTCACAGTAGCCCTCCCCAGAAACCACTGTCGGGGGTACAACTTTGTTAAAGGGCACCGTGCTAAATACTTCCAACTGCAAATGTTAGCGGCACACAACAGTGACTACCGCAGCGATACAGGTAAACTCTGTAAATGGATGTTGAGTCAAAGAGAATAAATACATAGCAGGCTAGAACAGCTCACACCTGTAATCTCCATACTTGCGAGGCCGAGGCAGGATGATTGCTGTGAGGTTGAGACCACTCTGGGTTTTATCTTGAGTACCAGGCCAACGTGGGCTACACAGCCTCAAAAACTGAAATTAAGGAGTCCATGGGATAGCTCAGTGGGTGAAGGTGCCAGCTGCCAAAGCTGATGCTGGAGTTTGCCCCCAGGGGCCCACGTGGTGATAGGCGGGAACAGACTTCTGCAAGCAGGTCCTCTAATCCCCATGTGCACACTGTTGCATGTGCACATGGGTGTGTGTATACACACACAAATAAATAAATAAGAATGGAATAAAATCTGTTTTTAAAACTGAAAGGAAGATAGAGAGAAAGGAAAAAAGGTGAGGGAAGGAAGAAGGAAAAAAGGAAGGACCTGTATTCACTTTTCTGAGACTATACTGCATAGTGGAGCAATTTTTAATTCTGTCATCTAATACACGGTGGTATTTCTGTTGATGTCTTAAAAACATCTGTTTTTATTGGGCAGGATGTGTGTGTCATATGTATGCATGATGTCTTAAATTATTGGGCAGGGTGTGTGTGTCATATGTATGCATGGTGTATGCACATGTGATGTATGTGTGATATATGTATGTGTGCACGCGCTTGTCTGTGCAGGGGCTCTCACCTGCCCATGCTCATGTAGGGACCAGCGATTGACTTGGGGTTTTGTTCTGTCACTAAACCTGCAGCTAACCTTTTTCATTAAACTGGCTAGCCAGTGAGCTCCAAGGATCCAGACTCAGGTCCTCATGTTTACACAGCAAACAGTTGACCTACTAAGCCACCTTCCCAGCGCTGAGCTGACTTTTTGATCTGTATACATCTGCCGGTGATGAGGCACCGTGCTCTCTGAGGCCTCACACCACACAGTGTCCACGGTGTTGGGTTAGTTTCCCACGGTGGCGTGCTTTCTTCCACAGAGCCAAGATGACTGTCCTCTCTAAGGAATATGGATTCGTGCTCCTCACTGGCGCTGCCAGCTTCGTGATGGTGCTCCACCTAGCCATCAACGTGGGCAAAGCCCGCAAGAAGTACAAGGTGGAGGTAAGTGGGGTCACAGGCGGGTGCTCGCGTGGGCTTCCTGAGGCCACGGCTAATCCAAAGGTGAGCTTTCAATCATGGAAGGAGATCTGAGTTGTTAGTGGCAGGTAGTAGCCGTCTCTGGATAGTGCCTATTCGAATTCTGTTCCTGAGTGGCAGGAAATACTAGGATTGCTGGAATGTGGTTTGCACCTTGTTGGACTCTGGCCCCTCTGTAGAAAGACCAGGCCTACTAGGATTAAAAGTCCCTTTTTACCTAGAGCTATTTGCTAGGGACATCTTAAAGAAGGATGAATTAGCAGCATTGTTTCCTAGTTTGCCACTTTACAAGTGATAGCTTCAATTGATTTCCCTGTTTCCTAAGTAGAGAAGAGAGGCTGGGCTTAACCTGGGTTTAGCCGGTTGTTGTAAAAAGGAAGTCTGTTAAATACTTCCTTTAGCTCTGGCCGAACTAGAAGGGGAACTTCTAAAGCTATCCCTGGGGAGCAATTAGATGTCTGTTTGCATCTAGCATCTTGTAATTAGACTCCCCCTGGAGGTTCCTTCAAGTGTTCCTATCGGGCTGCTTCTCTTTTTATCCTAGTGGGCACTTGCAATAGCAGTCTCACACACTCAATTATCTGTTCCCTAGTAAGGGAAATTTTAAAGGGATGTGGTGTGTGATGATTCCTGGGGACCAGCCATTTCTCTCCGGTCTCTCTGAATTTGCATCTGCAGACCATTGCTTTATGGCATCAGTGAGAAGCACTGACTAGGCAGGGGCCACTCCCCTCTCTTTTGCAACCAGAACATAAGTCACAGGTTCTTGCTAGCTTCTGAGAACTGAAAGCCTTGTCACTACAGAGACTGAAGCCGAAGTCAGTGCTCGTCCATCAGGAGTACCGTAGAAGGTGCTTTGGAATGTCTCAGTTTCAGGGCTGGTTAATTCTCAACACTCATCCTCTGCTTGGCCTTTGCTTTCACAGTACCCGGCCATGTACAGCACAGATCCTGACAACGGGCATATCTTCAACTGCATCCAGCGAGCCCACCAGAACACGTGAGTGTCATGCTGCCAGGCAGCAAAGATGCCCATCATCTCAGCCCCGAGTCTCTGAATTTGCTGAGTGATAACATGACAATCATGGTTCCCTCATTAAAAGTATGATTAAAACATTAGTGGGGGGCAGGCAGGGGCTCAAAATGAAGGCACTTTTGGCCAAACCTGATAATCTAAATTTGATCACCAGGACCCACATGGTGGAAGGAGAGAACCAAGCCTAACTTACACATGTGAGTCATAGTATTGATACACACACACATACACACACACTCATATAAAAAAGCATATTAAATTACTGGGTGAACAGATTGAATAATGAGCAAAAGTAAGACTTTTTAGAACGGAAAAACTTCTGAGCTGGTCAGTGGTGATGCACAACTTTAATAACCAGCCCTGGGGAGGCAGAGTCAGGCGAATCTCTGAGTTCAAGGTAAGCCTGCCTGGTCTACAGAATGAGTTCAAGGACATCCTGGGTAGAGAAACATTGTCTTGGAAAAAAATTAAAATAAAAATAAGCAGAGAGTGTTATGAAGGCCTGCTGTTTCTCAGCTCCCTTCTCTACTTACACAGTTCAGGTCCTAGCCAGGGGATGGTACTGCCCACAGTGGACAATTTTTTCCACCTCAGTTAACACAGTCAAGATAATCTTCCGTGGGCATGCCCATCTCCAGGTGATTCTAGATTCTGTTGACAATTAACAGTAGCCATAGCAATGCCTTTAATGTGACTCTCTGCAGTGTTTGCAGGTCCCATCTAAATGATTAATATTCATTACTTTTCATTGTAAATTAGTGTGTGTGTGTGTGTGTGTGTGTGTGTATGCAGAGAACTGAATGGACAGAGGCTTTCTCTTGGCTCATAATTTAAAAAAGACATAGTCCATGATGTAAGATATAATGGCAGAGATGACAGAGACTTGAAGATGATCACAAAGGCAGACAGGAAACAGAGTCCTCTCTCTGCTGGGCTATAACCCTCAAAGCCTACCCTCAGTGGCCTACACCTGCCAATCAGGCCCCTGTCCAAAACTATCCCACAATCCTCCCTCCAAAGCCGTACCACCGAGTAGAGAGCAGGTGTTGACACACGAGCTTGTAGGGCGTTTCAGACTGTGCTGCCGTTAGGAGGTCTACTCCAAGCCAAGGCCTTCCTCGTGAGTTTGCAGGATGTAAAGTTCACCCACTCCTATCCAGAGCAGAAGCAGGTGGGTCCCGGCAGCCAGCCTTCTCCCTCCAGCCAGTGTGTGGACTCCCGAGCTTCCAGCCTGCCAGCATGCGTGCAAAGTCCCTTAGTTCTGTATAAACAGCCATCGTGAGGACACTTTTTGAAACACGACTTTCTGTCTATTTCAGGTTGGAAGTGTATCCTCCCTTCCTATTTTTTCTAACCGTGGGAGGTGTGTACCACCCGGTAAGTTTCTCCTTGGGCTGGTCATCCATCCGTTTAGATGTAGTTCACTCTGCCTGCAGGGAGAAGGAGATGAACATTAGGGGAGGAGCCTCGGTGTCAAGTCGCCATCTGTTTATTTAGTGATTTGTTACAGAGTGTTTTAAAGTAGGCAGCATTTCACCTATTTTTACAGACAGGGAGAGCCTCTTAGACACCGTGTAACTTTCACAATGTCAGCTAAGCCACAGAAGAATGGAACTTTGAACCCAGGTCTATATAATTCTGAAAGGTCCATATCCACAGGGAGTGTTTTTACTTTCCTCATTCATTCATCTACAAAAAACAAAATCTACCCACGCCCTAGAGCAGTGAACAAGACAGGCAGCCACCAGGATTCACAGAGCCTCCCTTTAATTGGGGTCATAAAGAACGTCATAAGTAAATTATCAGGGATGTTAGAAGCTGCGAAGGGCCCTGTAGCAAACAAGGAAGTGGAAAAGGAACATGGAGCTCAGAGATTTTGAATATGGTGTGGTCAGCCTCTTACTGAGAAGGTGACAGGTAAGCTAAACTCAAGACGTGAGGAAGCAAGAGCTGCTGTCTGGAGCGCCCAGCATCGAGAAGGCCATGGCATCGCGACAGCTCTAGCAGACATTTACTCAAACCAAGGTCATGGCAGTGACCAGGACCGGCAGGCATCTGTACAGCCAAACACCAAACCATTGTTCCGAAATTGCTAGGAATTACTCAGCACCGTAGTAAAGAACAGCCTGGCAGAGACCAAGCTTAGGCAGAGAGTAGCTGGGGCTTTGTCTATAGTTCTTCATCCTCCTGCCAAGACTTCTTACCCAGAGTCAACTCAAACAAAACCCTGCCATAGCAACCAGCACCACTGACAGCACTCCCAAATTGGAAAAGGACTTGTGGAGTGTTGTAGGAGGGCCCTTGTTCATTTCCCTGGCTGCTCAGCCCCGAAATAACCACACAGAAACTGTATTAAATTAAATCACTAGCCGGGCGGTGGTGGCGCACGCCTTTAATCCCAGCACTTGGGAGGCAGAGGCAGGCGGATCTCTGTGAGTTCGAGACCAGCCTGGTCTACAAGAGCTAGTTCCAGGACAGGCTCCAAAACCACAGAGAAACCCTGTCTCAAAAAAACAAAAAAAAAATAATGAAATAATTAAATCACTGATCACTATAGCACACTTCTAACAAGCTCTTACATATTAAATTAACCCATTTCTATTATTTTATATTTTACCACAAGGCTTGTGGCCTACCAGCAAGGTTCCAGCTGACAGCTCCCGTCTTTCCCCCTGGCGGCTACATGGCATCTCTTGACTCTGCCTTCTTTCTCCCAGCATTCAGTTTAGTTTGCCCTGCCTACCTCTATTCTGCCCTGTGTAGGCCAATACAGATTCTTTATTCATTAACCAATAAAAGCAACACATAGTCAGAAAGACTTCCCATTCCAGTGGAGGGTCACCTGCTCACCTTACCCCAACCTTTTCCCCTCTTACTCATTCTGGCCAGATAGATGGGTTACTCAGGATGAAACAGAGGAAAATATTTCTCATCCTACATAGGTTTTACTCTCTCCTGTCAAGGGTGCTGGGAATAGAGAGGCTTTTTCCTCTCAGAGTACACATATTCGGGGTTCACTATACATCCTCCTCACCTTTTCTTGTCCATCTCCACTCCTACTGTGTCCAACCATTTCCAGCAAATGTCATCATGGGAACAGTGCAGCCAGGAGCTGCTGAGTCAGTGTGGGGTCCAGGGTCACATTTCAGACATCAGGGTTTCCTTTTTTGACTCACCCTGGAACCTTGAGGTCTGACTGCCCTTGACCTGAGCTCCAGCACCAGTTCCCCCAGTTGCCCAGAGCAAGAAACTGCGCCCATCCCCATGGGGAAAGCTAATTTGCACCTCCCAGTTGAGCATGCAATTATAGACAACAACGGGTCTTGGCTTTTCCTGACCAAACAAATGATGACATTCTTTCCTTAGTGGGAAATACCTCACTTTCAGCCAACACAAGAGTAGTCAGCTCTAGGTGTTCACCAAGGTCTGTTTCCTCAACTCAAACGCTGAATTGTCCTTTTATCTTAGCGCATAGCTTCTGGCCTGGGCCTAGCCTGGATTGTTGGGCGAGTTCTTTATGCATATGGCTACTACACAGGAGGTAAGTACATGTTGACGTCAGCCAAGGAAACACTTTTTAAATGTATCTTTTAAAATGTGCATTGTGCACCTGTGTGGATGCGCCCACAGAGGGCAGAGCGCATGCTAGATCCCCTGGAGCTGAAGTTATAGGTGGTTGTGACCCACCTGACATGGGTGCTGACGGCTAAACACTGATCCCCGGCAGGAGCAGCGAGTGCACCTAACCATTGCATCTGTCTAGCCCCCAAGCAAATTTTAAAGTTTAGTTTCTATATTTTGACTCTTAGCTGAGCTTTAAAGTGGAGGGGGAGGTTAAGACGGGAGAGATGATGACTCAGCTGTTAAGAGGACGGACTGCTCATCTGCAGGACCCAGGTTTGTTTCCCAGCGCCTTACATGGCAGCCAACAACAGCCTGCAATGCCAGTTCCAGGGGATCCATGCAAGTGGTACACAGACACACATGCAGACAAAATACCCATGTATATAAAATATGATAAAATGTGAAATGAGGAAGTGGCTTAATAATTGAGATGAAAGGTCTATTTATTCTTACTGCCCTTAGAAGAGTAACAAATTTTGAGCATTTTCTGTGTGCCAGTTGCTTGTCTATGAGCTTTATGTAGGCTATGCAACCTTGTAGCAGTTCTGGGTACAGTTAACAGCCCGTTTTATAGATGAGGAAACAGGCATATAAATATTGAGCAGCTAACCATAACCCCCAGGAATCAAACCGAAGGGTTATAATGGCGAAACCTGGCCACTGTTTAAGTGGATAAATGGATAGCAAAGAGAGAGGAAAAGGCTGTACTTCGTTCTGGAAGGAAACAAACACTCCTAAAGGTCCTAAGACAATGCTGCTACAGAGTTCTCCAAAGTCTAGGCAATGCTATTGTAGAATTACTTTGCATATAGCTTCCTGCATACTGATAGCCCAACGGTAGAGTTGGTCAACCTCCCAAGAACAGGTGGTTGAACATATGACCTCAGATGCTAGAACAGAATGGCTTGTGGATGTTCTGGTAACTTCTGCTCTCTTGTTTTTCAGACCCCAGCAAGCGGTCTCGAGGAGCTGTGGGGTCTCTTGCCCTTCTTGCCTTAATGGGCACAACCGTGTGCTCTGCTTTCCAGCATCTTGGCTGGGTTCAACCTGGCTTGGGCAGAGGGTCCAAGGCCTGCCACTGAGGAATGGTAGACCTTTCAACTCTCGTTCACTTTGAACGACTTACCTTTATTTCCAGTTCCACTGGTTTGTTCTTTTTTTTTTAAATATAATAAAAAACTTATCTGGCATCAGCCTCATACCTAAACCTCTTGACTCTACTCTGCATTTCTTTCTGAGTCTCTTTCCTAAATAATTGTGCCATTTCTACTAACTAGAAGTAAAGCCATGAGTATCCCTCCTCACCTCGTCTGTGAAGCTGAGACAAAGTCTGATTACGGTAATGTATTCATGATGCCACAGTGCTGAAACATTAAGTCTTAGCTCCAGTTCAAATGTAGTACTGCTTGATGCTAATAATTAACAGTATGGACTTTTAAAAAATCTATTGAAGATTGCTTATATTGCTTAAAGGTTAAGTAACAGGGGTTCAGTCAGATGACTTAGCAGGTAAAGACACTCTCCCTGAAGTCTGATGGCCTGAGTTCAGACCACATGTTAGAACTGACTTCTACAAGTTGTCCTCTGACCTCTACATGTGCACTGTAGCACATGTACGTACACACACACACACACACACTTGCCTAAAGCTTTTTTTAAGTTAAGCAAGAAACTCAGATGATAGAACTAACTGGGGATGAATGTAAAGCTAGAACTACTAACAGCCCATTTCGTAGGTGAGAAAGCAGGCTTAGAAATGTCTGTGCCTGAGCTGAAGAGGTAGCTCAGCAGTCAAGAGCACTGACTGCTCTTCCAGAAGACCTGGGTTCAATTCCCAGCACCCACCTGGAAGCCCACAACTGTAAATCCAGTTTCATGGGACCTGACCCATGTCAAAACACCAATGCACATAAAATAAAAATAAATAAAAAAAATAGTTGAAAAGAGGAAAAAATGTCTGTGCCAATGTCTTTTTAAGGACAAATCAAAAAGGCTTTATGTAACATGAGGGCCTGCTTTGTTGAGGTTTCTGTCCTGTCCAGTTCCCACAGCCAGCAAGTCGCAAAGAAAATCACACAGAGGTTTCCATAAGATTATAAACTGATTAGCCCATTTGCACAGGCTTCTTATTAGCTCTTAAACTTATATTAACCCATTATTCTTATCTATATTAGCCACATGACTCGGTACCTTTTTCAGCGAGGCAGATCACACCCTGCTTCTTTGGTGGTCTGGGCAGGACTGGGGAGGAATGGGCTTCCTCCTTCCCAGCATTCTCCTGCTCTCATTGCCCCACCTTTACTTCCTGTCTGGTTGTCCCACCTATACTTCCTGTCTGGCCAATCAGCATTTATTTAAAACATGATTGACAGAGTACAGACAATTCTCCCGCACCAGCTTTACAATGGAGAGGATGATGTAGATTGGCAAAATAAGATCATTGCTCTAAAAACTAAAGTTGTCTATGAAGTATGAACAAGAATAATATCTAGACCTTTGCTGTCCACAAGGCATGCGTGGCTTTCAGATGGATAAAATAAAACCCACCCGGGAGATCTTCCTCTTCCTTGGTGCCAGCCACACTTCACACGCTCTGTCACTTCTGAGCATTAGAGCTAGGCTTTGGGCAGAGGCGTACCTCTAAAACCCATGCATTTCCCGACTTACTGATCTGCTCAACCTACGGGAATTGAACACTGAAGAGTGGCTTAGCTTTGCCTAGATGGCTGTGACTCCCTTGGAGATTATATCAGAATCCACTCCCAGCTCAGGTCATGAGAAGTTGTCACTAGTGTACTGAAAAAACAAAGGAAATGGGCTTCTTCCTCCCCATAGAGCTTTAGATTTGCCTTTTTTTTAGCATTAAATGTTTCTTTATGAAATGACAGCGATGAGGTGGGAAGTTATGGGTTTGGACTAGAAAAGATGGCAGGAGTAAGCCTCTGTAATAGTTGAGATCCTTTAATACAGTCCCTCATATTGTAGTGACCCCAAGCGTAAAGTTATTTTCATTGCTTCTTGATAACTGTAATTTTGCTGTTATGAATTATAACGTATCTGTGTTTTCTGATGGTCTCAGGTGACTGATGTGGGAGTGTCATATATCAATCTGTTGATTTCATTGGTTAAGCAATAAAGAAACTGCTTGGCTGGCCCTCATAGGTTAAAACATAGGTGGGAGGAGAAAACAGAACAGAATGCTGGGAGGAAGAGGAAGTGAGCTCAGACTCGACAGCTCTGCTCTCTGGAGCAGACACGATGGAGCAAGCCACCAGGTCAGACATGCTGAATCTTTCCCGGTAAGACCCGTGCTCACAGATTATTAGAGATGGGTTGATCGGGATCTCAGAATTAGCCAGTAAGGGCTAGACTAAAGGGCCAAGCAGTGTTTAAAAGAATACAGTGTCCGTGTAATTATTTTGGGGCATAAGCTAGCAGGCGGCCGGGGTGCTGGGGACACAGCCCTGCCGCTCCTATTACAACAGGTGACCCCTGTGAAAGGTTGTTTGACCCCCCACACAGACACAAAGGGATCATGACCCACAGATTGTGAACCACTGTTGTAGCTGTTGGCATTGCTCCGCCCTTGACAGCAGCCAGTTACAGTCCTTGGCCCAGGGTGTAAGACCCTTCCTTAGTCTTAAAGAGGGCAATTCTCTCCAAGACTAGCAACCAGAGACTGCTTTTCGCATCTCTGAATCCTTATAGACTACATTATCCTTCTGTCTCAGTTCTGTCCCCCGCCTCCTACTGTCTCTGCTGGTGCCACTTTCCTGCGCTGGCCTTCCTCAAACTGCAGCTGCTGCTGCTGCTACACTGTCGAGCAGTCAGCGGCCATACCCCTTAGCAGCCTGACTGCCGCTCTGCTGCCTTCTCCATGCTACCAGACATACTCACATTACCCAAAGTAGGCCAGACCAGTGGGGGATAGCTTTTATTGGGAATAGTGATGCCGCTCAGGAGAGGCAGCAGTGTCTCCCCGCCTGATCTCTGTGCTGCATAGGATGTCCCAAAGATTCCACAGCCTCCTAAAATATCATCACCGGCTGGGACCCAAGCTCCAAGCACATGAGTCTGCAGGGACTCTTTACATTCAAACCCTAATTGTATGGAACTAGAAACGTTCGTGCACGATTACTGAGGAGCCACTGATGACGCACTCACAGTAGAAGGCACTCAAGACCAGAGGCTGGGTGGGCTCAGGCTCCCACAAGGTATGGTAGGAAGCTTGGGTGCTATCTGCTGGTGTAACCTAGCAGAAGTCCAAGCTATCATCTATGTTCTGCCAGAGTGTGCCCCGCTTCCCCTCTACATCCCTAAGAGGCTCTCCCACCTTAATCAAAATGACCAGGTGAGACTTAACACGAAACGGCTCAGCGGGTAGAAGCATTGACCGCCATCCCTGACCACCCGAGTTCGACTCCCTTAATTCACACAGTGGAAGGGGAAAACCCACTCCCCCTGGGTGGGTCTCCTGACCCCCACACTCACGCCCATACGCATCCCCTTACACGGACAGATACATATGCAGTCTCTGCTTCATCCCTCGTAAGCAGCACTTTCTAGGTGTTTTCTGACATAACATACTCTACTTTCCAATTAACTGATACCTGTGTTTGGCCACTGAGGCCTTGCTATGTGGCTAGAGCAACTCACACGCATTTTGCTTCTTTTTATTAAGCTTAAGCGGTTACATGGGCTCGCAGCGACTGTACCGAGCTTGGTGCTCAGAGCCGTCCTCAACTCCATCTGCCTAGGAACTCACCTGGGAAGCTTTTCAGAGTCCAGGTGCCCAGATCAATTACATTAGCATCTCAGTCTTTTAGATGCTCAACGGCAGCTCTAATAAAGCCCGAGCTCGGGAATCAGTTCTCTCAAAGCGCAGCCTGGCAAGCTATGATGCCTGTGACTCAGCTGAGGAGCTTCCTGAAATGCAAATCTGACAGGTCCGGGGTGGGCTGAGAATCTACAATTCTCTTACCCAGCAGGTGCGGCGGCTCCCTGGGCCACACTGAGCGGCAGCTGCTTACCCACTCCACAGTTCGCGGCCAATGGCAGCAGTGCTCGCTTTCAGTTCGCATCCTAGTTCAGAAAGGCTACAGTTAGCAGGGGAACATCTCAAGTGACAACGAATAGTCATCCACACGGACAGAAGAGGAAGTCTGTGCTGGTTCCCTTACCTCGGAACACATTTTTAGTTTGTAGGGTTTTTTCTTCTTCTTCTTTTGGTTTTTGAGACGGGGTTTCTGTGTAGTCCTAGCTGTCCTGGAACTAACTCTGTAGACCAGGCTGGTCTTAAACTCAGAGATCCGCCTGCCTCTGCCTCCCGAGTACTGGGATTAAAGGCATGAGCGGCTGCCACTTCCTGGCTAGTATGCAAGGTGAATTTCTGAGAAACATGGTCTGAAGTGACTTGGGAACAGCCTGGCAGAGAAATAAGAAAAGGGGGAAAGTGACGGAAGACGGTGTGCACGGTGGTGATAAGGCACTGCAGCTGCCTAAGCAAGGGCACGTTGTCATCTATTGACCACGGAGAGCTCATTCACTGGCGCTGTCTAATGGCTTTCGTCAACTCCCTCCCCAACCTTGGAAAGGAAGACAAGTAGGTCTTTGTATAAGAACAAGGATTCATAAATATTTCAGGGAAAATAACACCAAGAAAATCTGATTTAATCATTCCAGTGCTAACTGCCCTAACTTGCCCATGCAAGGGCAAGAGAGCTAGGCCCAGCCATGACAATCATTCCTTATCTCTAAATGCCACCTTCACTATTACTTAACTCGTCCCCAGAAAGGAGCATGGCGAGGCCTCAGCTGTAGTAGTGCAGCTACAAGGTCTGGTAGCTCTTTAGGGTAGGCTGCAGCAGGGAAGGACAGGGTCACAAAAAGTTATCATGCCTCAACTTCCCTTGCCTGTCCTGGTCCTATACTTTCTCCTCTGTCCAGTCCAGTCTTTAAGATGTGATGAGATTCAAATTAAAGACAAAAGATTAACACTGTGACTGATTCCAATGCTCTGTCACAGAAGCACACAGTAATTTGTGCAAACGACTCTCTTCAGTTGTAGGACGACAGGCCGCTGTGCAAGGACCCGGGATAAGTATCTGAGATGGGATGATGGGATGGGTATTTGCTGATGTATCAACTATTTTCTTGCTAGCCAGCTTGTCAGGTTTCTCAATGAAATGACAAAAGAACTAAGCTTTT